GAGAGAGAGAGAGAGAGAGAGAGAGAGAGAGAGCTAATATATATGTTCTGCATATTGAATATATTCTACTTGCGTATGTCATGACATTGGTACAAACTCTCAATAGATGAGAACCCGTATCAGGTAGTTCAAAGAACAAATTTTAGAATTTATATATGTATATTTACATCATTCTTTATTTCTGTTCGATGTATACTTTCTCCTCTCAGGTGTAGTTCCCACCAGGTCCTCATGCACTGTCACCACCGTCCCTTGTGCTCTTCCCTCCTCTGTTTTGATCCTCTCCCTCCCTCTCCCTTACAGAATGTTTCTAATTTATAGCTGCCTGTTAATTTTGGTTTTTATAATTTATTATATATTTTTTTCCTGATCCCTTATTTGATTCCCCTATATTCCTCCTATAAATGAAGCATTCAATATTTTCTTTTTCCTTCTGGCTCATTTCACCGAGCATAATCCTTTCCAGCTCTATCCATGTTGCAGCAAATGGCATGAATGTATCATTTTTGATAAATAACATCAAAATTTTTTATAAAAAATACATATTCCATTGTGTATATATAACTCGTATACATAACACGAAGAAAGTACTAATTGAACTTCTGTAATATATCAGGTAGTACCATAACCAGATAAACAGCTAATATTTAAAAAGGTAAATTTGACTAACCAGTAACTAATACAACAGTCTGTTCCATTTATTTTACTATGTTAAGACTGTGAGGGCATGGATTAGGCCTCTGTATGTAATCTTTGTCAACATGTGGCTAACAGGCATAATTACTCTACCCTGTCTTCCATCACTCTGACAAGTGGAAAATTCTTATGAAGCAATAAGCCCACCAAGGTAAAGACTGGCTTCTTTAGCTCAACATGCCTTTGCAGTTTCTATCCCACCAAGTTTCAGATTCGAAAATCACGTCATACCTGATTGTGCACTGTACTGAGTTGGTTGCTGAAGCTCATTGTGAGGTTTGTGCTTGTGTTTGGGGCAACGTGGGTGGTGAATGGACTCTTGATCTGACTCACTGTGTCATACATGTGCGCCCTGCGCTTGCAGATCTCCATGTTCTGGAAACAAGACTTAACACTGCAAAGAAGTGAAAAATCCACTGTAACAAAGGCTGAAAATTAAACAGACAGCAAGTAATAATGCAAGGTGACTAGAGACTAACATTCTGCTTTCCTCTGTGTACTGTGAGTACAATGAATCAAGAGTTTTTATAACCATAAAGAGGAAAAATACACATTTCATTTTTAATGGCATGATTTTTCAATGAGAAAAAAAAGTATCAGCCAAATACGCAAGCACCAAAGCTGCTGCTCGCGTGACAATTCCATTCAACTGTAGGCCGGTGACGCCACAGAGAACCACGCCATGGCAAATGCCCCAGAGCCCACCATACTTACTGATTGCTATGTGGGAAGTCCAGAAGGTGTGTCATTGTCACAAATTGATGATTAAGAGTTTTCAGAGGCGTGATTCTTTTATCTGCATCAATTGTTAGCATTTTTTTTAACAGATCAATGTATTCCCTTCGATCCGCCTTCTCTGCCAACATGTCTGTTCCTTCCAAGTCTGTAGACATATTCACCTGGCAAGGAAAATTTAGAAATATTATACTTCATCACTTAACTTCTAATGTTGGCACTAAATATCTGCTTTCTCTCCGAATTATCTACCTACCTACCTACCTACTTATACTCACACACAGATATATGTACATATATACATATGTGCTCAAGAGAAAAATCTAAGACAACTGTATTATAGGCTCATCATTTTCACAGGTGTAAGCACTTATACTAATTAAAATTTTCCAACTGATAGGCTTTTTGAGAAATAAAGCTAAATAGCCTTTTCATTTAAAATTTGAATCAAGTAAATTAAGCAGAAGTGACTATTATTACTCAACTTTAAGTTTCCATTGTTGAAAAGATTAAATGCCATAACAAGTGTCAAGTGTTTAAACAAACTTTGAACATAAATGCGCATATGAAATATTTATTTAGTGGAGAAGATAGATAAGGAAGAAACCTTCATAAACAATATTTCAAAATGCTAACATACAAGACCAGTTAAAAAGGAGAAATAGTCTAAGAGTATCCTTCTCTAAGACTTAAATGTTCTTTCAATTAATGACTGATTGATGCATTGTCTGTAAAAAATGAAGACACATAATAGACAATAACAAATTGAATCTATCTTTAATAGAACCAACAGAAGGTGTTTCTTATTAAGGAAACAGATAAATACATGGCTATACTCACCTGAGCCATGTCATCTAAACAATTAAAAATGTACTTCCGAGCTTCTTTGGATTTGATTCCAGTCTCCAACTCATGTTCTTCAGGTGTCTATAAAAATACATGTTTTTAAAATTTTCACTGTATGCTATTTTCACATATTGTTCTAAATTAAAGCCAGAATACAAAGAAATAAGAATTGACCTTGCCAACCAAGGATGGCAAAGTGTAATTAATTTTCAACCAGAATCCTGTGATTCGCTGCCGTCTGGCCATCCCTTCAACAGCATTAAAATAACCATGAAAAAAAATGACACTGCACAGATCCTGAAGGTAGCAAGGAACACTGCCAATTTTATCTCAACATCACTGTCAATGAAACGACATTTCCAGTGCTGGCTACTCAGAGGGCTCAGAGGCACTCAAGGCTACTCAAGTAACTCAAAGTTCTCAAGTTAGAAAAATTGGCTCGGAAGTAAAAGGTACATATTTGATTCAAGAAAATACATAAAGCCTTTAATGTGGGCAGTCAGAAAATCATGTTGTCTTGTTGTAATTATTAAAAATTATCTCAAAAACAGTCATTACTAAATTACTCAGTTCTTCCTAACACTTACTGGAGTCACTGTACTCTCTATACTCCCTTCGAGGCTGCCGGTTAAAACATACAAAATAATCTCAGTCAAATGACGAGAACTTAATGTCTTGTTAACTAAGGGTAAGACAAAATGGGTACAGTGAAATAATTTTTCAAAGGATTTACTCCCGTACATACATACCTTTCCTTCCCTACTTCTCCCTCCAGAATTTAATAACTAAATTTTGAACTCAAAGTTAAGAGTGGACAGTAAGGAAATGGGCAGCACAGGGAGGGAACAGACCTTCAGTCTCCACAGTGGATAACCCAAATTAGGGTCTCTGTTGAAAAACCTGGTTGTTTTTGTCCCAGCACTGAGAAGATATTCGGCTGGCAGGCCTTGTGTTTGTGAAATGTAACGAATCTGAAACACCAAAGAATTGATTTAAAGAGTGAAATTATTAAAAACTTATATATTAAGGTATTATTAGCTGTAGGCAAAAAAGGTACTGCAAAGAAATTAACTTTTTGATCAATACAACTCAAATTAACCTGTAAATACATACATATGCTAACCCACTCACAGTTAACACCAAATATTTACTCAGTGACTTTTTTGTTACTCTGTCAGTTATTTATAAGGAAAATTCAATTTGCAAAGGTTGTAAGAAACTTCTTTAGCTCTTTGTAGACTTCTGACACAAAATTCAGAAAACGTTGGCAAGATTCTAGACAGAGTAGTTTCCTAAATACTATTTCATAGGTTACTAAGATTTGCTTTGTTTTTGATAGATTATCAATTAAAAAGAAAGAAAAACCTTTCCCAGAAAGCTTTCTTTCTTGGCTACTCTCACTCCTGTCAATTGCCCCTTCTCTCATATCATAAATTTAAGTAGTTAGGGCCCTCCCTGGTGGCGCAGCAGGTTAAAGCACTGCACTAAGAAGCTAAAGTCACTTCAGCATGAGTTCAATTACCCACCCGGTGGGTGACCCACATGGCGTGGCAGACCACTCCTGGGAAGTGGCCTGAGGAAATTTGTGTTTTGAAAAAAAGCATTCCAGAAAGAACAACTGCAAAGAGGTCCAGTAGTCTTAGTAAATGATGAAGACAGGCTGGACTAGGGTGGTAGCAATGGGGGAGAAAACGAGTCTAACCAAAAGGAATTAGATTATAAATGATCAAGAGAGACACGTGCTTATGCACACATTAAATTACATTTTTCCTTTATAGAATTTATCTCAATTGTTATTATATAAATATTTGTATGATTATTTACTTAGAGTCTGTTTTCCATCACAGAACTATAACCTCTGTGAATGCAATTCAACTAACCACCAGTAGAGTACCTGACACAAAGCAGTTACTCAACAAACACGATGAAATTTAACATACTTCACAGACAGACACACACACACACACACCAGGTTATCTCTGAGAGGTAAGCTACTAGAGGTTTACATTTTTGACTCTTGGCATCTTTTGTAGTTTTTCTACAGTGATATATTTATAAAATTAAAACACTAAAAAAAATTTGACATTGTAGAATAAAATAGGTTTGTTACAAAGGTAGAACAAGAAACTATTCTCTGCTACTGCTTTTTTGCATAAGTTTAAAATAAAGCAACACGTCTTACATTTATGCAAAGTGTTATTGTTACTTTGAAAAATTAATTTTTTTCAAGAACTCTGAAGCCATTAACTATTATATAGAAGAGGATACCAATGCCTGACTTCAAGACTCAAATGTCTGCTCTAAAATCTAAGTATAATCCCTAGGAAAAAGCCACAGCTAATGCTATACTTAATAGTGAGAAATGGAATGTTTTCCCCTAAAATTAAGAAAAAGACAAGGATACCCACTCTTTCTATTTCTACTCAGCACTGTACTAGTGGTTCAAAAGAAAGCAAGTAAGCAAAGGAGAAACAAAGAATCCAGATTGAAAAGAAAGATATAAGCTGATTTTTGTTTGCCATGGCATAATCTTGTAGTTAGAAAATCATAACCAAAAAAAAAATCAGAGACTAGAGATGTTAGGAAACTGTTAGAAAAAGAGCCCAACAAAGTTGCAGAATATAAGTTCAGTGACAAAAATCATTGTATTTCTATAACTAGTAATGAAATTAACAAAAATAACTCCATTTACCAGCACTTCAAAAGAATAAAGTACTTAGAAATAAATTTTAAAAAGGAAGTATAAGCCTAAACTATGAAAATTACAACACATTGCTAAAGAAAACCTAGTAAATGTTTATGGATCAGAAGATAATATTGTTAAGATAGTAGAACTTCCCAAAGTGATGTACAAATTCAGTACAATCGTTATTTTTTAATTATATTATTTGCAGAAATAGCTACCCTAAAATTCATATAGAACCTCAAGAAGCCCCAAGTAACCAAAATAATCTTGAATAAGAACAAAATTAGAAAACTCAACACCTCCTGCTTTCAAAATTGATTATGAAGCTCCTTGTAATCAAAACAGTGTGGTACAAGAGCAGGGATATAGGATAAAGATCTACGGAACAGAAATAAACCACTATATTTTTCATATCTGACAAGGACACCATCATAAATCAATGGAGAAAGAAATGTTTTAGCAAGCAGTGATGGAAAACTAAATTACTATGTGTAAAAATGTAAAACTGGACTCTTACACATACCACATACAAAAATTCACTTTAAAGAGCTCAAAAACCTAAAAGAAAGAGTTAAAACGGGGCCTCCCTTGTGATGCAGGGGTGAAAGCACAGCACTATGAAGATATCCACAACCACTGCAGCATGAGTTTGATCCCAGGCCAGAGAGGGACCCACAGGGCCCAGCAGACCTCTCCTGTCTACCCGCTGCTCCCCTCGGCAGTGTGTTTCAGTCGATCAGCCTGTTCTGCTCCCTACTCAGTCTCTGGTGAATCCTCTCACCCCCACACACCTCTGATCTATACCCCAGTGCTTGCATGCATGCATAAATCAAAATAAATCTTAAAAAAAAAAAAAACGAACTAATGAAAGTCTGATACCTGCTACAGCATGGATAAAAAAAAAATTGCTAAGTGAAACAAGTTACCTCAAAAGACCACATATTGTACTTGATGAATACGTTCTACCAGAAAAGGCAACTCTATAGAGGAATTAGTTGGCTGCCAAAGGCAGGTAGAGGTTGGGGAGAGATGGGATTCTCACTGAGTATATTTTTGAAGTGAGAAAATGTTCTTAGACTGATCTGGTGATGGTTCACAACTCCGGCCACATTAAAAACTACTGAATTGTACACTTAGTAACTGAATTATGTAGATTATATCTCAATTAAGTTCTTAAGGTTCAGCTATAAAAACAAGGATTCTGCCTTAGGAATCTTTTATATGTCAGCAATACACCAACTACTCTGAAACTGCACTACCACAGCAGCATCCTATTTATTCAGCATGGAAGGAAGTCTCCTTCCTGCTATCCAAGTTTCACATCTCTGCATCACACAAAAATTCTTTAAATAACAATCATTTCATTGCAAGAAATGCCTCATTTGTATCTTGGCTTTTAAACCTAATTTATTTGGTTCCAGTTTCTAAGAAAACTTATCATACCAATCTGATTAGTAAGGTTGAAGAGATGTCACAGAACATTTGACCTAGGAATGACATGTTGGAGACTGCAATTACCCAGAACAAGGTATTTTAATCCAGGTACCATGTATCCCCTAAATTTATACACAAAATGTTGTATATATTTTTTTCTGAAAAGATACAAAGCCTCCTCAAATTCTCAAATGGGTCTAAGATCCCAAAAAGAATCAATGACTTGGTTCAACTATTTAATCTCCCTCATACTTTTTGCTGTAAAATAAGGAAACTGGCTTATTTCTAGCAAGGTAAAACACTAAATATTATAAAGCACAATGGAACTAGTTAGTTACCACATGAGCAACTCATTTTTTGTTTCATTTGAAGATATATTCAGGGTCAAAATTTTGGAAGTTGGCAAAAGCTATATCTACCCTAAAATGGACCAAAGAGTCAAAAATTCTAAGTCAGACAGGGAAAGAGTTGTGTTCTTTTTCCCTTTTAGTAATTCCAGATAGCCATTTCTCTAAATAAAATAAATACCTCATGTACCGACCATGTGCCAAACATAATGTACTGAGGAGACACTGGTGGAATGAAAGCAGCCTCTACACTCCAAGCTTATTGTACAGTGGTTAGAGTTTTTGTTTTTTTTTTTTAAACAAGAAATGAGGATTCATAATTTATGTCCATGGTGAAACTTTCACTCAGGACCAGATCCTTAGGAAATTGTAGCATGTCTTCTAAAGATTGTCTGTTTTGAAACATGGGGCATTTATCAGAATACTTTTCAATTCATATGATATCCCTCCTAAATCGTACTTTACATATGCCACAGAGACCCAACAAATGTGACAGCTTCTTAGGTCAAATGTGCTTCAGTACATAGAGGGTGCTGACTTCAGTGTGTCATCTATAGAAGGAAATAAGAGCTCTAAATGAGTGATATCTCACTGTTAAAATTCTGATTCCTCGTCTTTCCTTTCCTTTCACTTTTTTTTTTTGGAGAACACAAAAGCAGACTTACTGAAACACATCACCAACAGGGTTAGCAGGGCAAGGCAGGAAAGGTCTGCTGCTAACTTTCATTACTTAACTCACCAGACATACTCGTTAATCCAAATTGCCCCTCTAATAATTAGTACAGCTCTCGAAAAGTATCATATAAAATAATAAAACAAAATTCTTTTAAAATTTAAAATTGCAAGTGCAACTTTAGACTAAGAAGCAGTAGAGAAAATTCTATTACTTTAAAAAGTCTTTCTAATTAGACTATTCTTTCCCTACTGTCCTTCATCTTCCTCTCAAATTTACTTCAGTAATAAACAGCTAAATAAACACTCTTACCTGATCATATTCAGAAGCACCAGGATAAAGAGGCCATCCCAGGAACAGCTCAGCTATCACACAGCCCAATGACCACATATCAATAGCTTCACAAAATGGTAATCCAAGAATTATTTCAGGGGCTCTACACAAACAAACAAACAAACGTTATCTGGGGAAAATAATTACATTGACTGAGCTTTGTTTTACTGTAATCTAAATGTACATCAATTTAACAAGATTTTAAAAAGTATCTTTGGTATAAAATCCCTCATCCAAATCTCTCAAAACTTGCAGGGCTACATATGTACTGGAATTCCCAAGTTTTTATATTTCAAAAAGGTAGTAACATACATAAACTACGATCACAATGGATATTTAGAGAAGCACCCTATAATCAAATTAGTATTTCTGAAACAAAATATATGAGTATTCACAGTAGGCCAACTAAGTAAAGATTTTAAATAACTTTACATTGAGACAGTTCAGGTCCTGCCAATAAATGAGTTGAATCAAAGTTAGAAAGACTATAGAGTTTGAGAGCTTCCTAGTTTTGACATCGTGGAGAGGGGATTATAGATTTATTCCTTTTATTCTGAGCATCTTTTGAATCATGGAAAAACCAACTGAATGGCTTAGCCAGTAAGTACCCCTCTGTGGCAGAAATGCCTTCTGAAGGGCTATAACAGCACCTGACCTAGAGACTCAAGAGCCAACTATTAGGGTTCAAATCCTAATTTCATTATTTAACAGCTGTAGGCAATTACGTCTCTGTGCCTCAGGCTCCTCATTCATAAGGTAGAGATAAGGGTTGTCACAAAGCTTAAAAAATAATGAATACGAATCATGTTTAAGCAGTAGCTCTTGACCAGCACCGGCACATGGCAAGCACTGTGTGTCAGCTGGACAACAATTTGTTATTGTATTATCATTACTTCGAAACTTCGAGTTCCTAGTGCTTTCTAAAATATCCACTTCTATAACACTTAATCATAAAAAGTGACACTAACTGTAGCCAGGAGAAGACTAAGAAATGCCATCAACCAAGAGTTTATATATGTGAACACATTCAAAGCAAAATCATCTCCATTTACAGAGAAGGAAACTGAGGCACAGAGATACTAAATTAGTCTGCCCGAAATCACAGTTAATAACTAGCATAAAGAGAACTTGAGTCCTGGCAGTGTTGTACTAGAGTTGAGTATATTATACTATCTCTAAATAAATAAATTAAGAAACTTTATATCCATATACAGTGATCTGGCATGGTGCTAAAGATGGCATTTTTTAAACTGTCATTAAAATTAAGAGTTAAATGAGCCCATAAAGGAGGTTAATGACAGTAACATGAATACATAGCATTATAATATGCAACACACAGTGCTTTCTTTGTGCCAGTCTGTTCTCTCGATAAATGTGGAGTCACTTGATCCTCACAACAGCCCTAGGAAAGCAGGCATTATTACTAAATACTAAGCCCTCAGCTCTGCGATGCACAGTTGTACCCCATATTTTAACATCTTTGAAATTAGGATTTTTGCCAATAATGGTATATTTTAGTTTAATGGGAGAATTTCTACATTCTTACTGGTACACAGTGTTGCCTCTTACAATCCATGGCATTTTACATTCTATGTAATAAAGTTATCATTTCCATGTTACAGATTAAGAAACTGGGAACCGAGGGGTTAAATGCCCAAGGGTGCACAATTAGTAAATGATGGAGCCTGTGGAGCCCTGGCAGTTTAGATACAAGGTCCAAGTTCTTAAACGTGATTATCTTCACAGAAAAGATTTTCTTTCCTTCTTACAAGCCACAGAATGTAAATCTGTGAAGAAAGCCCAGATTCAGATCTCTCATTTAACAAAAACTAAATAGAAAGGCTGTTCTTTCCATGAGGAGCCACCTAAAAGTGACGTTTTCCCAAACTTGACTTTCTAGAAAAATGTACTTAGTGTTGCTTTTTGTGTTTTTGGGGGGGAAAAAAGGGGGTGAGATAAACAAAGATTGAGCAGAGAGGATATAAAAAGATATCCTTAAACAAAAATATCCTCCCCAAGTAAATACCTATGAACAGTAGCCAAACCTCAGAAAACAGGGTATAGTAACTGGAAAACTCCACAGAGTATAGAAGCTTTCCTGACCCCTTGTCAGAGAAAGCAGAAGGTCCAGACCTGATGAAACTTACACTATCTGACAGCTATGGGTAGAACACTATCGTCCCTAGTTCTTGTACTAACTGATATGAACTGATGTCAGGCAAATAAAGAACCTAGAAGTTTTATTCAAGTTTCAGAGCCTCTGCTTCTCTTTCTGCCATCAGGCTTGTGGAGGCTTGCTTGAAACAAGACTTCTAAAACATGGCTGGCAGGTTGTAGTTCAAGGTCATTTTTACTGGCCACTACCATAATCTCTAAAACCAGCAGGAATTCAGAGCTGTTTAAAATTGAAGGTGTTTATCCACAAGAAGAAACTGAATTCTATGTAGGCAAGAGATTGTTTATGTGTACAAAGCAAAGAACAACACAGTGACTCCTGGTGGCAAATCAAATAACACCTTTCCAAGGTTTCCCATGGGCACAGAAGCAGGGTTTGTAACCAAACCCTGAAGCACCTTCCTGCGAAAGCCATAGAAGATGAGCTGTGTAATGCAACTGCACGTTTCATAGATTTAAAACTATTGAAAAGCCAGTAAAAGGGAACTGTTGTCCTAATTTTGGTTTTTGTTTTTTTTTAAAGTGATACTTCTGTTGCAGGTGGCTGGAGTCCCATATTACTGATGGAACTTCAGAATTCAATTAATTTGGCATGTTTTCAGGCAGCCCAAGTTTCATAGCATTAATAAACTAGAGGGTAAGAGTCCCAAGACACACGTTTTTCTAAAATGGAGAAGGTACAAAATTTGTATTTTCAGGGAGCATAATCATTAATTTCCAAGTTCATGGCAGTGCCAAATACAGCTGACAGGGACAATGCACATGGTTTTTTGCCAAAATAACCGGGCTTAGAGAGTCCTAAACATCAACTGGAGGGTGGCAAATTGCTTTTATGACTCCCACTGGACCTGGAAGACAGACACTTTAATGTCCCAAAGGCACAAAAGCGATGGGCTGGGCCACTCAATAACTGGCGTCTTTAAAAATGGGGTAATAATGTGACCACTAGTGCCGGACTTCTGAAGTTTAAAGTTGCATGGAATTAAGAAAAATACTGATTTCAGGCCTCAAGCCTCATTAAACAAAATAACCCTTAAGACTGGCTGGAATCAGTTTTTTCCATTTGATTTCACCCTGCTTCTGGATCAACAAAAGTAGCTAAGGATTTCTACAAAAATTCATGCAAAATAGTTAACTACCACATCTACCATACAAAAAGGCAAGAAAAAAATGAAAACAGTAAAAAATAAAAATAAGGCTGCTGTCTACATAGGGCATTTCATGATCATCAAAGCTGGGAAATGCTAGATTTACCTAAACTCTAGTAAGGAAAAACACTAAACTTATTTTCTCTTTTAACTGAATAAAAAGGAATTATTTACAGCAAGTTCATCTCTATTAAGAAAGAATGCTTTAAACTTTGAATTCATAATATAATTCTTGGAAATAGTTTCCCTGTGATATCATCCTTCCCCTTGGCCTCCATTATTTCTCAATCCCTCAACATAAACTCTGGACACTGAAATTCTGGTTCTACTCCATCTGTAACAGGGCGGTCCCCAGGGACAGAGGAGGTTCCAGGTTCCCTGCCCCACCCTACAGAAGGAGCTGGGCATAGAAGCTAGAGAAGACTGAAGAAGGAGAGAAAGGGGACTCAGAAACGACCTGGAGAAGGTACATGGAGCAGAGAACCATTGGAGAACCTGCATGCTTGGTTTAGAACCTGTATTCTTTCTCATCTCCTTACTGCACATGGAATGTATGAAAGTTCCCTTCCACTGAAGGCCTTAGACATGAAGGGTATGTCTGTCTTTATGTGGTAGATGGCAGAACTATTTAGAACTGGCAAGGCTGGGTATCCTGGGGTGCCCCTCACCCTGCCCTGAATCATATCTACCTGTGTAATAAAAGGCTCAGATAACTATTCTTCCAGGTCCTTTTCTAGCTCTGGCATTCCAACATCTGGGCAATAAGAAAAGATATCCTATTAGGCATGGGAAAGAGGGAAAAAATGGCAACACTCACTCTGGCAGGAAAATGACATTAACTGTACTTTGGACATGGTAGGGCTTCTTTTCGAAGATATGCCCGTCCTATAGAACAAATACTATACACGCTCTAATTACTACAGCCAGGTGGGAGAAAAAAAAATCCTTGTCCTTTGATTTCCTGAGTTCAAAAATCTTCAAGTTGAAAATCTCCAGCAGTCATAAAGCTTGATGTTACTGGAACTCAGAGCAACTCTGAGGTTAGAATCGCTTAATAATGCCTATCTTCATTGTCTGCCCATTTTCGTGTTCTTTCTGCCTACCTCAAAAGCATCAAACATACTTACCAGATCAGAGCTGTTACATAAAGTGTAACTTGCTGCATCTGTGGCTTAAGTGAAACTGTAAACCAGACACAATTGGATTGTATGTCTAGGATAAACTGAAAATATGCTTTCCTTCTGTAGACCTAGCCCTTCCATACATAACAAAGTGATCTCAGCTTTAAATAAAGGCCAGCAAGGTTGTTCAGAATAGAAAAGCACTAAGTCTTTTTAGCATGGTAAACTTTTAGCATGCTTTTTTCAGTATGATAAACTCTCCACCGCAAACATAAACCTCAAAGAGAGCAACTTGCAACTTTTCTTAGAATTAGTGTACATTTACATCCATTGCTAGCCAAGGAATAAAATGTATAATCTCCATTGACCAAGCCATGTACCATATTTATGGTCACTGGAGACAGCTGGGGGGGTGGGAGGGGAGATATATGACAACTGATATTTTGGCATGTTATTTGTAAGATGAAACAATGTAAACTAAAAAGAAGAGTAAAAGGAAGGAAGGCTGGCTTTGCAGTCAGAATGAATACACCTACCAAATAGGTTTGCACAGAGGTTTTCTGAAAGGTAAGAGTGAGAATTCAATAAATTCTCATCAGGCAACAAAGTAACATCAAAAGAATCAGTATGGAAAAAAGTTGTGATAAAAATGAATTGCTAAGCTGCCATTGCATTTGCTCACTATCAGTAATACTGTGATAAAACAGAACACTGATATTTATCAGTAAAGTAGTCAAGCTCCCAGTAGTGAACCTCATTATGCACAGTGTTACACTCAGAACTTCTGTTTTAAGGAATAAACTTAACTCCATTTAAAATTACTCCTTTAGTAAACATCTAAATGCAGTGAATTTTCAGGAAGCTTTACTGATGAGTAATTATCAGTGGATATAAAGTTTGAAAATCTTTTTGACATAATAAAAGCAAATTACTCAAATGCAGCTTAAATTAAAATAAGAAAGGGGTGAAGAGCAGTGACCTACCTGAAAATTATTCTAATGAAATACCCGAGTGCAAACTAAGCAGCTAGAACTATTTACACTTAAGATATCCTTTACTCTTTAAAAACCCTCCAAAAATAATTTCATGAAAATGATTCTTATCAATTGCTCTGCCTTTTTCAATTTTAAAATTGCTTCTACCACAAAAGACCACATTTTCTCTTTGACAGGGCAGACAAATAGTTAAAGGACACCTGCAGGCAAGAAAAGATGGAGAAAGCCAGAGCTCATCAACTCTAGGCTGCATTCTCCCCCTGACCTTCCCCAGTGGGATGCAGAACTGAACTCTCCAGTGCACCTGTAGGTGCAGAATGTGCTCTGTGTGTGCATGTGTGGGTGGAAGTAAGACTGCTTAAATCAGTACATCACAAGAAAAAGTAATTGCAACCTAAATCTCTCAAGTCATGAATAAATAAATGGAGGTAAGATTCTCAAAGTTAGCCAAGTTGCCTGGGGCAGCATGAAACTAGACACCAAAAGCTCTAGGCTTTTCTTTATTCCATCTTGTAGCAGAAATGTCATTGTTTTATAAAACTATAAAAAGAAAAGAAATGAAAATAAGTGAAGGTAGACTGGAAGACTTAGCTGTTAGTAAGAGATCAGTACTATCCAAAGTAATTACAGATTCAGGGTCCCACCTTATCATAAAACAATAAGGGTTTCCCCCCAACTCCACCCCCCAGAAATAGAAACTAATCCCAAAAATTCATATGGGATCTCAAGGGACTCCATATGCAAAAATAAACTTGAAAGACAACAAAGCTAGAGATGTCATACTTCAATGCCAAAGCTTCCTGCAAAGCTACAAGTAATCAGTATCTGGTGGTACTGGCAAACAGACATATAAACCGAGAAAATAGAGAGCCCAGAGACAAATTGTAATGGTCAAAGTATTTCAGCAAGGGGACCACACTTATTCAATGGAAAGTCTTTTCAGCAAATGGTGTGGGAAAACTAAATATGTACAAAGAATAAAATTAAACCCTAAAATTATAGCATAGTCTAAAGTTAACTCAAAAGGGATCAAAATCGAAATGTAAGAAGCTAAAACTATACAATTCTAGAAAGAAGACACACAGGAAGTTTCATAAATAACCTTAATTTTGCAATGATTTCTTGATAATACCAAATGTACAAGTGACAAAAGAAAAAAATGAATAAATTAGACTTCATCAAACTTAAAAACCTGTGTATAAATGAAGCTAGTAACAGAGTAAAAGACAACCCCACAGAATGGGAGGATATATTTGTAAATACCCTGATAAGTGACTAATACACAGAATACATAAAGACCTCCTGAAACTAAACAACAAAATACTAATCCAAATCAAAACTGGGCAAAAGACTTGAATAGATTTTTCTCCAAAAGGAAGATATACAGATGGCCAAAAGGCGCATGAAAGTATGTTCAATGACAACAATACTTAGGGAAATGCAAGTCAAAAGCCACAATGAAATACCTGAATTTCACACATACAAGGGTGGTGACAGGAGGAAGAAGCAGAGGAAGAGAAAGATGAAGAAAGAAAAGGCAGTGTCTAGGCCTGGAGAAACAGAGGCCCTCGTGCATTACTGAGGGGTGGGGAGGAGAATGTAAAATGGTGAAACCACTATGGAAAACAAAGTGGTGATTCCATAAAGCTACTTAGGAAAGAGTTACTATGACCAAGCAATTCTACTTCTACATATATACACAAAAATTGTGAACAGGGACTAAACACGTTGTGTGCAATGTGCATCGCGGCATTACGTACAACGGCCAAAAGTGTGGCGGGAACCCAAGCATCCACCAACAGATAAGTGCATGAGTAAAACGTGGCCTCTGTATGTAATGAAGTAGTGCTCAGCTGTAAAAAAGGAATGAAGTTCTGGAACATGACTCAGCATGGATTAACCTTGAAAACATGCTAAGTGAAATAAATATGACACAAAGGGCGAAATACTGTGTTATTCCATTTACATGCAATATCAAAAACTGGCAAATTCATAGAGAAAGGAAGTCAAAGAGAGATTATGAGGGCAGGGGGAAAGGAGAACTATCACAGAGTTTCTATTTTGGTAGTGAAATTTTTTTGGAAATAAGAGGTGATAGCTACAGAAAATTGTGACTGTATTTACCAATATTAAATGGTATAATTAAAATATTAAGTCATTTTTACCAGAATTAGAAAAAAATACATACAAATAGTGTATTTTTTTAGTCCTTTTACAGGTTAAAATAGCCTTACAAGAAAAATTATTTTCAGACATATTATAGGAATTTTAGTTCACATTTTCTATTTTTTCAAAATTTATATCAGCTTTTGACATAGTGAACATACCTCCTGATAGACATATTTTGTGGGTTATCTTTTTTTGTGTCTGTTTATTATTTCATTTCCTGATTGGATAAGTGTAAGATGTGTATTTCACAATGGCCATTAAAATTAAATACCAAATTTCTTAAAATAAACAGATGAAAAAACTGTATACACTACCATTTAAGTACTGGTCCAGTAATTTGAAGATATTTAAAAACATCAATCTGAAAAAATAAATCACTAAAGTATAAGATATTCAAGTCCAGGCCATTCTAGAATAGCCAAATATAGCCAAAGAAGTTCTTAACAATTAGGTTGAAAATACTATGGAGAATGCTGAAACAGGAAGAGACCTAAACAATCATCTAATGTAATTTTCACTGTTGCACAAGAAAGAAAATGTAAAAGAATAAAATTAAGTAGAGTTAAATCTGGAGTTATTTCCAAAGCAATTTACCTGACAAGATATGAACTTGGGGGGGGGGGGGCCGGGGTAGAGAGGGCACACATACCCAAATTCATCAGAATAAGAAGCTATCCTTAAAATGGGAGATTTACATATAATGGAACTATAGAAAGGCCAGTTGCTAGTTAATTCAACTAGCATCAGAATGAATAACTTTATAACTTTCAGAATCAGAGTGAATTCATGCCACACATGGAAGGAACTAAAAGACACTATGTGATTTCTATCTTGAAATTTGTAACTGAATTCACTGTTACTTTAGCACTATACAGTGTATGTTAAATCTAAGAACAGATCTGTAGTCTAAAAGATGCTTTCCAGCAGGTACCACTTGCCTGTAGTAACGTGACTGTAAGTAGGTGGAGCACACCGCTTTGGAAACATGACTGGCGGAACCAAAGTCAATGACCTTCACTCGGTAGGGCTGGCGCACCGGATCAACCAGCATTATGTTTTCGGGCTTCAGGTCGGCGTGAATCAGACCGAGGCTCTTAAGCTTCATCAGGGCTGTGGCCACCTGCTGCAAGATGGGTCTGATGTACTTGAGTGGCAGTGGGCTAAACTTGTTCTGCTTTAGAAAATCATACAAGTTCTGTTCCAGCATCTCAAACACAAGGCAGGTGTGATTCTTATGCTGAAAGCACTCATACGAACGGACGAAATTATACTCATCAGCATTTTCACTGCTGAGGCGGGACAGGATGCTCACTTCTATCTGCCCTTGTCTGGCATAGGAGGGGTGGTTCTTCAAGATTTTAATAGCTACAATTTCCTTGGTGCTCCGCTTCCAGCACTTAGCCACTTGGCCAAACGTCCCCCGGCCTAGGAACTCCAAGACTTCATAGCTGTTGGTCATAGAGCAAAGGATCTCGTGCTGGACCAGCTGGTAATCCCCTTCCCCGCTGGAACTGCTACTCTTCGTGGTCACAGTGGTGGTCGTGGCAGCAGCACCCACCACAGTCCTGTTTTGCAGCATGAGAGGGGGATGTTCTTCTATGATCTGCACGCTACCGTTGCTGTCAACTTCCTCACTTTTTCTTTTCAATCCACATTTTTGATAGGGCTCCAGCAGAGAAACGTTGCTTCTGTGAGTCAGGGCCTGGCTGCTTTGGAAGGTTGATGTAGCCGCACTGGCAGAGCTGTCAGCGGCTGTTACGACAATATGCTCCACGGCAGGAGCTGGGAGGAGGAGGCCCTGGTCGTAAGCAGGGAGGTTGAAATTTGCTACCTGGTGAGAGGAGTTGGCTTGTCCTTGCGTGGCTGGAAGGGTTTTGCTGTGAGTATAATACTTGTCGTTGCTGCTCTGTCCTGACACATCCCAGCCAGAGGGCTCTATTTTCAGTTTCTTTGCACTGCAGAAGGCACTCGACGACACTGATGGGGGGGAAAACACCTGCAGCTGCGATGCCATACCTACATCGGGAGAGAGGAAGAGCAGACCCTCAGTTTCCACACCCTCTGTTAGCATGTAAGTCAACTCTGAGTTTATGAAAACCACAAGAAAACGCCTATCTGGCTAGGGCTTTATTTTATACATTTCCAAAAAACGTTCCCCTTTTGGGCTAATTACACATCCTTGAACGCTTTGAGACTTAGTAACAACAGCGCCGTGATGACCTATGACAGTTTATAAAATAATAACAGTAGTATTAACTCGGATGACCACTCACTCACTCTGTGCCAAACAGCAGTCTAAGCACGTCGCCTACATTACTCATTTAATTTTCATCACAACCCTCTGAAACGAATACTGCCATTATTTCCATTTTATAGATGGAAGAACTAAGGCACAGAAGTTAAAGTAATTCACCCACAACAGCACAGCTAGGCAGTGGCAGCAGGGAACTCAGAGGCAAGCTCTTCGGCACCGAACTCATTTCACAGCTGTCTTCATGCCTGCCCTGATTAACTTTTTAATCAAAAAGTTACTTAAATTTAGACATAGATGGCATGCTTGTAAAAATCACAAATGAACCAAGTTTGGGCGGGGCATTCAATATTGCTAAGTAACATGTCTAAAAAGGTAACAACAGGGCAGGAACCACATAGCAAATCTAGCAAATGAAATTCAACACAAAGCAGAAGGATAAGCGATACAGCATTTACCAGTATATGTGTGTGAGTGTTTATTATATATATTTATTTATATACATGGCCGTCAGAAAAGCCATGAAGCAATTTTGCTTGAAAAATATAGAAAATATATGCCATGATTTTTCCAACAACCTAGTATATGCGGGTCTGTGTATGTACGTACATACAGTATACATACACATATACATTTTCATTTTAATAAAAGAAACGATATACTAAGATGGGAAAATGCGCAAAAATATGTAAAAATAAACTAATAAAATAAAAAAGTAAAAGAAAAATATACAACCAGAAAAAGGCACAAAATGAAGAATGATGTAAAAATAAAATAAAATTTAATTTTAAAAAAGAGAAACGATATAATAATGTTCCTCTCATCAAAAGCTAATTCAACCTTAAGCTACAATCACAGAAATAGTGTCCAGAATATGGTGGGAAAGTGAATGTTCGCCACTCTGCTCAGATCACACATAAAGCAGTGTTCAGCTCTGCCAGTGCACTGTCAGAGCATCATTAATAAACAGAGCAGAGAAAAAACAACCAGGATCTGATGCAAAACTGAGATGTCCTTCTAAAGAACTGCAGGACATTATCCTTAGAAAAACACAGGTAAAGGAAGTGAGAACAGCCTAGCCTGTATCCCTGAATGCAAACAAAGACTCGAGGTTCTCCAAAGTCCAACGACTAATCCCAAAGCTATCACTTTCAGAACAAAATGCAAACGCAACACAGTCCGAGTCACTTTATATTTATTTTCCTGTTCTCAACAGTACAACCCTCAGATGGCTCGGAGTTCTTAATAGCTTACCATTATTTTGCTCCAGCACTTTTCCCCTTTGTAATAACTCCAGGATGAGTCATGTGCAAAGATCAAGTCTCTGTCTCTAACCCAGACTTGTCTTTCTTGAATTCCAAATCCTCATATCCAAAGGCCCCCACCATACTAGAGCTTGGATGTCTTATAGACACCACAAACTCAACATGTGCGAAATGGAATATAAGAACTTCCATCCCATCCTCAGTACCCCCAGTTTTCTATCTTACTTATAATATGGCACATATTTTTACCCAACATTGAAGCCAAAATTCAGGAAGGCAATGAGTTGCAGTTTATACATCTAGAAAACAGTGGGTTCTGAGGACTAAGTGACTTAATACATCTAAAGTGCCTGAAGCTCATTTAATATCATTATCCTGCTTGATCCCTCTTTCCTGTCCCCCATATTTTATCAACTCTACCTTTTAAGTATGTTTCAAATCAGCTACTTTGCTCTATCCCTAGTGGAATCATCTAGTTCAAACAGCCGGTAGCCTCCAAACTAATCTTGAATGCACTCAGGGGATTTTAATCTTTAAGCTATACAAATGAGAAGGCTGTGCTCTCTTGCTTAACCACCTCACTTCCCCTCTCCCCTCCATGACTTCCTACTGCTTTTGGAATAAAGTCCAAAATCTTCAATGGCGTCTAAAAAAGAGCTCCAAAAATCCAGTTGCTACCTTTCAAAATCTTCCCATCCGACTCCTCCATTCCAGCCAAACTGCCCTTTTTCAGTTCTTGGTAGATACTCCATTTTCTCTCACCTCCAGGCCCTCTAACATTTTGAAGACTTTCTGCTGGGAAACTGTTACCTGACAGACACAAACACACACTCACACAAGGGCTCTCACAGAGTCATCACTATCACTGCCACACACCCCCACCCACTCCTCACAGCACCCTATTCTTCCCTTATAACTTGAAATTATTTAATGATAGGGTGTAAGTTCCATTAGGCAACTTCCACATCTGCCCTGTTCTTTCCTTGTGTAACCAGAATCGACCACAGGCTCTTGTAATATACACACGCAGTCTCCACGAGATGATTTGGGCTCTGCCATTCAAGCTCATATATCCTCCCTAACACAAGGAGTTAGGAAGGTTTTCAAATGCCTGGCTTCATTCAGTTGTTAAATGTCCCTCCCTTATCTGTATGGTCCTTGAGATATGGGGGTAGTCTCCATTCCAATACACAGTCTAATTTTACTTGTTATAAAAGAACAAACACATAACTAGAAAGGAAGGAAGCATGACAAAGATGTTACAAAACATAAAAAAAAGCAATGTGTACATTTCTTTGTGCTTGAATGCAACTAAAAACCATCTGCACTGGACTAGACAGCTGGACGAAAACATTCTCAGCCCTCAATTTCCAAAATGTGGTCTGGATTTATTTTAAACAAGAGTTTCTATAATTTATATGAACCATGAGAAAAATAAAGTATAAGTTAAAAGCTAAAGTCAGCACAATTTAACTCTGTGAGGCTTCAAATTTACAAACTATTTTTGTTCTACCTATATCAATGACATAACATCAAGCTATGATATTCGAAAAGCCTGAAGCCAAATAGTGTCTTTACAAAATTTACCTATTAAAATATATGCAAAGGCATTTCTAATCATCATAAAATCTGTTGAGACAAATTCTGAAAAATGAAAAAAGTAAATTTGCTTTCCGTGTATATGTGTTGAGCAAGCTACCAATTTTAAGAAGCTATAGAAAAATACAAATACAATGTTTATGCACCTAAAAGTATTTAGAGAGAGAATATGAGTTAAAAAGTTGCTGGTAGTAGCTCTATGTCTACTAATATGGAATCTTAAAGTAATAATGATGAAAAGAAGTCATGAAATACAGTATCTGATGACTTCAAATCCACTCTGTGCACACAAAAATACACATTTGAAGAAACTTCTCAGGAAGTTTAAGTGAACAAATGACTATAACTTATTCAGTAAGACAAACTTAAGTCCACCATATGGAAGAACCCAGAATGTAAGTAGGACTGAGACACATGCTGACCTCAACCAACTCAAGGTTAGCTTAAGATACAAAATCAAAATAGCCTACAAAACCAACACTCTTGTTTGAATAACACTCTGAAATTCAGCTAGAATAGTCCTTTTTAGGTACAAGATAAAGTTTCTATGGTCAGCCCTCCCTGGTGGCTCAGCCTGTTAAAGCACAGCACTAAGAAGCTAAAGCCAGTTCAGCATGAGTTCGATTCCTGCCCAGGAGGTGAGCACAAGGCGCAGCAGGCCTGTCCTGACCTGCCCGCTGCTCCCCTCAGCAGTGTCCTTCATTGATCTGCCTGTTCTGCTCCCCACTTTGTCTCTGGTGAATCTGCTCACTGCCCCTGCACCTCTGGCCTGTACCCCAGTTCTGTATGCATAAATAAATAAATCTTTTTTAAAAAAAATGATAACTAAGGTCTCTTCCAAGGCTTAAACCTTTCAAACAAAAATGTGAAACAGAATTAGTATCTGCAGAAAAACTTAGTATGTAGCGGACTTTAAAACAAATTACAAATATTTTCAAATCACAGGAGAACAGTTACCAAAAAACTACAGTTACTTCTGACTTCCTGAAAGTGCTGCACCTCCTGACTCCAAGCAGTCAACTGGTCTTTTCATTTAAACCTGACTTTCCAAGGACTTAAAAACAATGACAAAATTGACCACTGCATTAATGGCCAATTAGAACAGGCAAAGGCAACTGGTACTTGTACTCATAATAACCAAGAAAATTGGGTCTTGCTACAGAGTCCAAGCCTTTCCAAAAACAAAGTTACACATCTTCCATTTAAAGGGTGCCCCCCATTTTATGGGTACCCCAGATAGATAATCTTACTACAAAGAATTCACAACATGAATCTAATAGGTGGGTATATGACAAGCAGGACAATGACTTTTCAATATTTTGCCTGAAGTCCTCATTTCCTCCCACAGATCATGGTAAATCCCTGCTGCTTTCACTAGCTGTCGTCACTGCCTCTGTGATACAACTTAACAGGTGACCTAAAGAGCCTAAAATCAGCCGTGTGTATTGATTTCTTCCTCCAGCACTTGTCCTCGATTCATATGTACACAGATGTACATATTCTCCAGCACACTGATACAGAGAGAATATTCATAATCATTACAGTAAGCAAATAATAATACATTTTGTGCAAAAATAAAGCAAGACCAAGCCTGGGAAGAAGACTTTCACCTGGACATCAAATCCGCCTCTCCTGGCCCATGGTTCTCCACCCTAAGTGCACAATTCTGGATGATTAAGCTCAGTAGCCTGACTTCCCCAAGATGTCCTCTCAAGCCTGCTCTTTCAAACTTCTCCCTATTCATTCTTCAACTTACAACTGAAGTTTTTTAAAATGCTTATTTGTATCCCCACCCCCCCACCTCGGGCTTAAAACCCTAGAACAAAGTACAAAAGCCCAAATGTGGATTTCCAGGTCTTATAAGATCTGGGCCTTGATTATTTTTATAACCTCAATTTA